GCCGCGCTGGGTCCGTTGCAGGTGCAGCGGTTAGGGTAACGCCTCAGTCCCTGCCTCTCTGCCAGGACTCCCTGCCTGTCCCACGGCCTGTCCAAACTGTGACACTCAGCAGCCTGTGGCGCCATTGCCGGGGCGACCCTGTGCTGGCCGGCCCAGTGGGTGCAATAGAGGGACGCTTAGAAAGCGCAGGACAGGCCCGGCCTGTGTCACCCACGCCCACACTAGAGCTCCGCTCGTGGGCACGCGCTGGGACAGCGACGAGCGGCCTGCAGCAGCACCCCTTAGGGCTGGGGGAGCCACGGCCCTGTAGGGTTCCCGCCGTGCTCCCCTCACTGCGAGGACTCAGTCCACACTGGAAGGTCTGCAGCGGCTTTCTTTCCCCAGTGCTACAAAGCTGAACATTTCGAAGCCTTTTAGTAAGGATTAAGGTATCTGAAAAGTCCCTCCTGGAGCCTGAGTAGAAGGTACTTGTGTTTAGGTTATTACGAGTAACATCTTACTAGGAGCCGTGCGCGCTGGCTGCTTTCCTTTCCGTGTATGGTAACGAAGGAACTCCAGCACGTGGCGTCACGTGGACGCGTCTCCGCTTCCGAGCGGTGGATGTCCGTGCGCGGCAGTGAGCTTGCTGCGCGGGCGGCTCGAGGCCGGTCGGGCGCGGCAGGCGGCGGGCTAACGCTAACTGTTCTCACAGCTGGTCTTTCTTCTGTCTCCTTCTCTGTCCCCGCAGCAGACTGCTCTACCAGCAATCTCTGTTCTAGATTTGGTACGTTCCTGTCCCCCTCGCTGCCTTTCCCTGTCTTGATCTCCAGTCTTCTCCTAGTGGTGGTTGTGTGTCGCTGTGGCCCGGCCCCGGGCTGTCCCCCGGGAGGGCAGCCGTGACCAGAAGCATGCCTGAATGTCGTAGCTGCAGCTCCCCACTCCCCTCGTGCACTCCCGTGCCCTGTGCCTGTCTGTTGATGGGACACGCCGGCAGCGGGCCCGTCCATGTTTAGCTGGTAGGAACCCTGTTGGAACGGTGTGGACTCCGGTCACGATGGCGTTGTCTGAGACGGCACCGGCCCTCGGTGTGGGGCGAGACTCCTCGTGGGCATGTGCCCCGTCCTTTCTGCAGTAAGACCACCTGGGTTTCAGTTCAGTGTGTCGGCCTTGTCAATTCCACAGTCCATGGAGAAGCCCCGAGCCCGGTCGTCGGTCACTGCCTGCCCACTGCACGTCGCCCTGCGTGTGTGTCGCGTGCTAGCTGACTCCGACCCGGCCGTGTGTGTCCAGCACATTAGGCCAGCGGTCAGTCTCAGCTGGGAGAGAAAGCCCACGTCAGAGAATGCGTGGTGTCGGCAGGGCTGGTGGGCAGTGGGAGCCCTCCTAGGCGAGGGGCTCGCCTCCGTGCGAGGGGCTTGTGTCTGCAGACCCACCCTGGGGGCCCCGGGCGTCCTGCGGCTGGGGGCCTGATGAGCAAGCTGTCTTGCTGAAGAGGGGGAGCTGAGATTCCTGTTAGAAGAAATGGGTGGGCATTTTCCTTTCTTAAAAAGGATTTGAAGGGCTAGAAGGTGGCATGGTGGTTAAGGCGCTGGACTCCCTGACATGACTGGCCATGGTTTGAGCCCCGAACCTGGCAACTTGAAAATCATGCGTGGTATGCATGGGTACACGTGTGCCCGAAATCCCGAGCGTAGAATGGAGAAGGGACTGCTGCGTGGCCATCCCCCCAGGGTGCCTTCTCACTTGACCTCTATCTGTCTGTTTCTCTCTGGCAAGCAGATGCACCCATGGCAAAATTCTTAAAAAAAAAAAAAAAAAGAGTATTTGTTAATCCTCAAGCACCGCCTTCCTGGGTGTCCCTGAGCCCAGTCCCCTGTAAGCGTTCCTACTGTCGGCCACCGCACCGTCACCTGGAGCACGCGTGTGCTGCAGGGCTGGCAGGCGGCCTGGCGAGCAGCCCACTTTGTCCAGACGTTGAGCTTCTCAACACGGCAAGGATCACGGCAGCATGTAGCCGTGGGGCAGCGGCGTTCTGGGACTCGAACTGCAGTTGGCCATGTGGGAGTCCAGTGCCTGGACTCCACACCGCCTGCTGCCCCCCAGTTTACACACCAGCAGCTACACGTGACGACGCGTGTCGCCGAGTGCCTTTTCCAGGCAGCATTCGCCTCCGCGGTAGCAGTGGCCTTTGTCCAGCTCTGTGCGTGAGTTTTGGCTAGTGGTTAGGGTCAGGGTGGCCAGGGCCCGATTCCCACGCCCCAGGCGCACTGCGGGGGAATTGCAAAGCGGGAGGCAAGAGTGCCACTGGGGGCCGCACCTCGGAGAGCCCCTCCTAGGGAGTCCGGCTCCAACGGCCTGTTCACACTGGGGTGGCTCCGGGATGAGAGTCAGCCTTGCCCATGGTGTCGGGATCAGCAGGGACACAGCCAGTCCCGGGGAGGGACAGCGTCACCCCACGTTAGGGCAAGTGTACCCTGACCAGCTCCCGCACGTCTCTGCGAAGCGGGGCGAAGATGGGGCGAGGAGAGCTCGGGCGTGGGCCACCTTGAGCCGCCCCACCTGCTGGGTCTGCCTGCGGGCTCCCTGTCGGTCGGTGTCCCAGCAGCTGGGCTCGGGACCTTGTGACCACTGGCAGCAGCATGTCCTGTCCGCTCAAGGACAGTATGGGCCGGGGGCATGACGCTCTAGGTGGCCGGATCCCGTGTGGGCAGCTGTCAGCTTCCAACCTGGACCCCAGGGCTTAAAACCATGCTGGACACCAAGATCCCAAGAGGAGAGTGGAGGAGAGGGGCCTGGCGTGGCCATGCCCTCCACAGCGTGCCTCTCTCTGTCTCTGTTTCAGCAAGTGCGCGCACCCTCTAACAAAGTTGTTCAAGTGTGCGGCCGTGCTGGGAGGAGGCCTGGCCGGGTACGGGCGGGCTGCACAGGCTGCCTGAGGGCCTGGCTCTCCTGGTGAGGGCCGCAGCCCTCTGACGCCGAGTGACCCCTGCTGGGAAGTAGCTGGAAGGCCTTGCGGAGCTGGGCCGGACCTGGGCTTGGGGTCTCGAGGCCTGTGGTAATCAGCGATCTGATCAGGCTTCTTCATGAGGGCCTAGAAGGGTGGTGGGCTAGGAGAGAGCTAGCACAATGCCTGCAGTGAGAAGTGGGTGCTTTTAATTTTGCTGTAGGATTCTGTGCTTGCCAGAGACGGGGAAAGAGGGAAAGTGAGGAAGCACCCCTGCCCCGGGCCATGGCCGTGCCCTCCTCCGTTCTCTCCTAGGATTCGGGCATGCACAGTCCCTGACAGCCTGCTTCTCAAGCCTCTGCGCACGAGACTTGGACCATGCTGCTGGCACAGGGGGACCCGGTGCCCTAACTCCCACGCCACCAGTCGTCTCCAAAGGAAGACGTTTTTAAGGACTTCTCTGTTGTGTAAAAATGTCAAAAAAGGATATCTTGACCCCGTTTTATGTTCTGGTATCTAACCATGATTGTCTGCCTTGGTAGAATTTCTGTAATGGAGAAAGGAATTCATTGATTTTGTGGTATGAGGGAATTAACACACAGCTCCCATTTCGTTCTCTGAAACTGCATTCTAGAAACGTGGATGCCCTGTGCAGAGAGGTGCCTCAGCGCGCAGCAGGCACACCGGCCTCGGGTCTAGTCTCCTTAGAGAAATACGCTGGACCAGCAGTTGGCGTAATGGCTATGCTGCTGGACTCCCATGTAGCCATCCATGGTTCACATCCCAGACCGGTGGCTTAAAACACGCTGGGTGCGTGTGCATGCGTGCCCAAGATCCCGAGAGGAGAATGGAGGAGAAGGGATTGCGGCGTGGCCATCCCCCCTGGGGGGTGATTTCTCGCTTTCTGTCTCTCTGTCTCTGTCTATCTGGCGTGCGTTTGCGCCCTATAGCAAAATCCTCTCCAAAAAAAAAAAAGTCCCCTGGACTGTGGTCGCAGTTACTGACTGATGAGTTAACCGCAAGGAGGCCCCAGTCCATATTTGGAAGAGCTCAGGGGTGGTTGGTTTGAGAAGATGCCGGTTTCTGGGTGCACGAGGAAGTGCGTGTACCTGTGTCCTGAGCACCCCAGGACCTCCTGGTGACTCCAGCAGGGCGAGCGCCTGTCGGCAGTGCAGTACGAGTTCTTGCTCAGAACTTGTTAGCTCTGAAATTGGCCCCGAGAGCAGGACCTCGTGAGATTGGCCTGTGCTTTATCAGACGGAGAGCAAACGCAGTGTGCATCCTCCCCGAGTGCCTTCCTGTGCAGTGTTCCATACACGCTTTTGCCCTTCAGCTTTGTTACTTCGAGGTCCCTTTGTGCTGTTCTCATCGGGGGCGCTGATGCCTGGCGCTCCTGGGCGTCCTGTCTACTGCGCCCGGGGCAGGGGCGTGGTGGGGGCCCGCTGCAGCCTCAGCTGAGAGCAGACTTCCTGCCCCAGCCCCTGAAGCCAGTGTCCCCTCGCTTTCCCCTCAGACTGCACCCAGGTTATAGGAGAGGGAAAGGTGAAGTAGTCTTTTTGAGAGGCGATTGTAGTTTTTCCTAAGACTTTTTTTCTTGCTGTTTTTTATCAGGCATTAAAAAGCCTGATGGCATAGGTGAACTTAATCCCTTCCACCAGATACGGTTCCCCCAAAATCCAGGAATAATGAAGTTGTTAGGTTTTTTTTAATACAAAGAAACACATTTCAAATCCAAGAATTAACATTGTATTTTTGCTGTGAGCAATTTGCAGGGAAGCTGGGAATTCTGCAGATTCTGACACACATCCTAAAGGATTTTATGTATAGAATTCATGCAGGGATTGGAGACTGGAGTCAGTGGCTTCAGGTTCCACTTTAATCTCAGAAGTCTCAATCGTCCCCCTCAGGGTGTCTGACAGCGCAGCCCGGGCGCAGCCAGGAGCCCACAGAGAATGCGGCCGCGGAGTCAGCGGGCAGGGTGCGGGGTGGGCGTGTGACCAGGAGGATGGGGGCTAAAAGCAGATGCGGCTATACCTGGGCCCTGGGAAATGTCCTCAAGTACTGAGTGTTTTGAAGGAGAAGGGTTAGTGACCAAGATTTTAGACCGGATAAGCACCTTTTCATTAGTCACCTTTCAGAAGCAGGACAGGCCGAGCTGTGGGGCCCAAAGTAGGTGCACAGACACTGGGTACATTTGGGCCTTGAGCTGGGGTGCCATTCTCCAAGCCTGGGGTGGGCCCTGGAGGCGGAGTGCTAGACTCTGCCCCCCAGAGAAGGTGGGGAGGCTGCCAACACAGCTCCTGCAACAGCCTCATGTCCCCAGGGGCTAGGCTGGCGTGGGGGACGCAGCCACTGAGAGACAGACTCCCTCCCCACGTGCAGACAGGGAAAGAACTGGTGGAAGGGGCGGGGCCGGCCGCCTGCGGAGCCTGTGCATTTCGGGGGCCCTCCACTTGCACGTGTTCATTAATAAAAGACCCGCACCTTGGTGCCAGGGTGTCTGATGAAACCCTCCCAGGAGAGACCTCTCGGGCTGTGGGGACAGCGTCCAGGTGACGTATCTGCAAATGGCAAAGCCACAGGCTGTAGACGGACGTCCCCCGCGGTGACCGTGTGCGTGTGCGTGGCCGTCTCTGCCTGTCTGTGTCACGTCTTGTGGTGACGCCAGTCCTGAATGGAGGCTGAAGCCTGTCTGCCGTTAGTTGCAGGATGAGGAGCGCAAAAAAAAAGCTGTAGGAGCTGCGCCGGCGGGAAGCAGAGGACCGCGCCCGGCAGGAGGAGGAGCGCCGGCGGCAGGAGGAGGACCGCGCACGGCAGGAGGAGGAGCGCGTCAAGCGAGATGCCGAAGACAAGGTTGTGGTCCTCTGAGGGCGGCTGCGCGTTCCCGGGAGCCTGACGCAGTTTGGCTGGGGCCAAGGGGGCTGGAAAGTGCGTCTCTTAAGATGCACCGGAAAGAGCGGGGCCTGCAGCCCTGGCTGTCGCTGGACCAAAACTTAAGCCCATCTGGCCCGCCCTGCTCCTCGGGACTATCTCCAGGCCCCTCCTGAGCTCGGGTGCCCTCAGACTTCTGAACGTCAGGGGTGCTCAGCAGTGAGCTCTTGGAAAGAGGGTCTTTCCTGGGGCCTCTCCTTGTACAGGACGTGACCAGCTCATCTCTGATGGTGCTGAGTTAGTTGGAACCGCGAGAGGCCCTGGGAACATGGCTTTGCAAATAGATGGTTTCTGGCGCGGTCGGCCGGTGCTGGTAGAGCAGAAGACTTGTAAACTGTGACACGAGGAATCTGAGTGTGTAAAGCCGATGCTCGTTTGCAGTTATTTATTTCCGTATGTTTTCATTTGAGTGATCCTTTTCATTAAATTTTAAAATGGTAGCTAATTTTAACATTCTGATGCGGGAGCTTCAAGACGCCCTCTGGCTCCCTCTCCACCGGTGGTGTCACAGCTGAGGCCCTCGGCGAGGAGGCCGTGGCCCCTGAGCTGCGGTCTGCCCTGTCGGAGGGCAGCATGAGGCTGCTGTGGTTTGGGAGAAGCTCCTCTTCCCCTCTTCCCTTCTGTGAAGGTGGAGGCTTTGAGTGGCCCGGCTTCCAATGGGGGAAATGTAGTCTTGCCTCAGTCCTCGATAGCCCAGCGAAGTACGAAGTACCTTAACATTAACGGGAGTGCCCGCCCCAATAAAAGAGGTCTTGGGCAGGCTGGTAGGGATGGTACCCGTGAGGGCACAGGGAGGGACGTCAGGACACACGCCTCACTGGGAGGCGGAGGCTCTGCCGTGGGCACTCGGAAGCCCACCCTGTTCTCCGTCATCCCCAGACGCGTGCAGGTCTGTCCGAGCCCGAGCGTCTGGGATTAGGTTACCCTGCGAGTCTTCCCCTCCCGCAGTGCGAGTTGGCATCGCTGAGCCCGGGCCTGGGCCCCGCGCCCCGGCGGCCGTCCTGCATTGCCCACTGCCGCGCGGCGGGGTGGCGCTCTGTCTAGTGCCAGCACGCCCGCCCAGACCACGCAGTGTCCCTCACTGACTTAGCCCAGTCCTGCCTCGATGGCACTGTGGTGGGGTGGTCGGTTACCCAGCTGGGCAGGGCAGGGCAGGGCTGGCTCGAGCACCGTGGATGCTCTGGGCCCCCACGCCTGTGGTGTGGTGCTCTCTTATGTTGGTGACAGCTTCGTCATTGAGCGGCCACCGTCAAAAGGAGCTGAGTGACATGTTTTTACATGGAAAGTCCAAAGCTGGTGCATCTGCTTTATTGTAGAGAGTGCTTGGGGGTGGAACAAAGCCAGGCTGGGGTGTTGCACCCACTTTGGTAGGAGGAAGTGGACCCTGGGTCTCCCTGGGGTGTGGCCGAGCCCCGGCCGCCGTGTACCACTGAGACTCGGCCACACAGCAGACCCACACAGGTTGTTTGCGGGATTCCCACCTGCCCTGGGGAACCGTTTTCTGTGTAGACGAGAAGAGGGAAGTGCCTTTCTTTCTCCACACAGAGCGAGAAGGTGGAGTGGAAGTGGGTCCAGGCAAGCGGAGGGCACAGGCCGGGTCTGAGTGAGTGCAGGGCATGCCGTGTCGCAGCACCGGCCAGCCGCGGTCCGGGCACAGCGTGCTGTCCGGGCCCCCACCCCTCTCGTTTACTTCTCTCTCACGCTTACAACTTTGTCAATCTTTAGCAAAACTGTGCTGTTACCTTTTTGAATGTTAAAAGAATTTCAACACTGTCAACTGAAGCCCGTGCTGGTGTGTCGGGAAATGCACAGTGTGTGTGTCTAAGAACTCCAGCACTGTCCGCTGAAGCCCGTGCGGGTGTGTCGGGCAATGCTCCGTGTGTCTAAGAACTCCAGCACTGTCTGCTGAAGCCCGTGCGGGTGTGTCGTGCAATGCTCCGCGTGTGTCTAAGAACTCCAGCACTGTCTGCTGAAGCCCGTGCGGGTGTGTCGGGAAATGCTCAGTGTAACGCACTCGCCTCTCGCTCTGCTGTTAATACCTGGCTCTCTCACCCTTCTGTCTGTCAGGGCCCTTGCGATCTGAATATAACCGAGCCTGTGGAAAGCGTACTTGGTAGCTGTTGCTTTGGGGAAATGAGTGTGTTCTTCGGTCTGTGGCTCCCTGTCACTCTCCCTTCCAATAGCCGGAAGGCCACGGGTGACTTGCCGCTGTCCTCATCCGGAGGACGCGCCTCTGGACGTCCAGGGGTTCGGGGAGAAAGCATGCCAGCCCCCTCTGGCAGTGCCGGCGTAGGGTTAGTTTTGTGTTGTCTTTAAACCCCACAGGAACAGGTAAGTCCTGTCCCACCAAATCCAGAGGAGAGAGGGAGAAAGAGGGAAGGAAGAGGAGAGGGAAGAAGGCGGGAGCGGAGGGGAAGGGGATGTCTAGCCAACAGGTGGAAGGGCCAGCGACCGGGAGTGGCCAGCCCGAGCCCGAGCGCGGGGTGGGAGAGATGGACCAGGGCAGGTGCCTTAAGAAGGCCGCAGAGAAGCCCATTTCTGGCCGACCTGCGCTTCTGTTCCCATCATGCTGTTTAAACCGACGTCCCGGGGCCTGTCTGTGCGGTGACGGGGACCGATGGGTCGGCACGCTTTTCACTCCCTGGGAAGTCCCAGTGGACCGGCCGCCCCTCCTGACCTCTGACCTTTGCACTCTTGTCTGTTCCCGCCTGGCCGGGCGGCCCTCAGGTTCCGGGAGCCGGGTCTGTGCCGACCTCCGCTGCCACGGGACTACGAGCCCCCGCCCCCGGGCCCCACGCCCAGCGCCCCTCCTCCCCCGCCTCAGCGGAACGCCTCCTACCTCAAAGCCCAGGCCCTGTCCCCCGACTCGCTGTTCCCGGCCAAGTTGGTTGCATTCAGTGAGGAGGAGGACCTCGGTCCAGCAGGTCAGGATAAGTACTCCCGCCCCAGGCCGTCCCCCGGGGCCCCCTGCCCGCCACGCCCGGCCTCCTGTGGCCTCTCTCTCTCCAGCTCCTGCCCGCCTCCCCCAGCCAGAGCTCACAAAACAGGCCAGCCCCCGCCCCCTCCACAAGCGCCAGGCTGCGACCACCCCGGCCGCTCCAGAGACAGAGGTAACAATGACCCCCCAGCCCTCGTGTCTCCGTGATTGGAGCCCGGGGTCTCTGCACCCTGCCAATCCGTGTGGTCTGCTGCGACCCTACCTGCTTGGGCGTTTGGATTTCACGCGATCCCGCCTCGGCGTGGTGGCCTCCCTGCCCTGATCGCAGTCTGTGCTCACGCTCGCTTTGGGTAATCGGCTGTACACTCAGCTTCTCTGTCCTGCCGAAAGCTTGTCTCTGGCCAGCTGACACAGTTAGCCCGTTACTCCCCGAGCCGTCCCTTCCCCTGCTCAGACAGTTCTCACCTCTGGCCGAACACGCGCCTTCCCCACGGGGGCCTGCTCCTTGAGAGTGGCACTTCTGGGCTGGGGACACGGACGCAGCCCTGGCACTGCTGGGCCGCTCCTGCTGGCAAACTGGTGTGTGGGCATCTGCTGTGCTGACCCTCAGTGCAGCCACGGGGCCTCCCGCCAGGGCCGGAGAACCTAGTCATGTGGGACGCCTCGTCCCTGCTGCCCCCGGTCCTTGGCACCTCGTGGCAACAGCAGCCAGGCCTGGGCAGGCACGGCTGCAGACACCGGCACCTGCCACCCGCAGTGTCAGGCCCAGCCCTGCCGCAGGATGGGCACCTCCGGCTTGGGCAACAGCACTGCGCCTGCCCTCGAGTTAGAGCCACGTCCGCGGGACACAAGCCTCACACTAGTCTTGCTCTAAGTGACGCTGACACCCTGGCACCGAGCACCCCGGGGGCAGTAGCACTGCTTTTAACGAGACGAGATGTGAGCTCTTCACGGACGGTGCGTGGGATGGGCGAGTCCGAGCGCTGACAGGGCCGAGACTTGCAGGTAGCCGTGGCTCACTATCCGACAGGTGAGCGCTGCCAGGTTCTGCCTTCATGTCCCTGGACCCTGGCTTTGGGCCACTTCGAAGGTTCAGGATATAACATTATTTATTTAGTCATTCTGGAAGCCCAATTCAAATTACACCTGCTTATAAATAACTTGTTGGGACCAGCAGTTAACGTAATGGCTATGTCGCTGGACTCCCATGTAATTGGCTGTGGTTCAAGTCCTGGACCCAGTGGCTTAAACTCACGCCGGGCGCGTGTGTGTGTGTGCCCAAGATCCCGAGAGGAGAATGGGAGAGAAGGGATTGTGACGTGGCCATCTCCCCTGGGGGGTGATTTCTCGCTTTCTGTCTGTCTTCCTAGTGCACGCACACGCCCTATAGAAAAAAACACTCCAAAAAAAATAATTTGTTGTAAATATCTAGAATTTGGTACCTTTTAAAAAGATAGTCATAGAATAATAATAAATTTGAAGCAAGATGCACTTAGTTTTCTGGTACGCAGTTTTATGATCTAAACAAATATTTTCTAAGTGTCAGTGGCACAGGCGACGAGGCTTGGCAGCAGAGTATGGAGTTAGGCATCGTCTCTGACCGTCCTGACTGCTGCTCAGCCCACTGACCCTCTCCTCCTCACTGAAATGCCGCCCAGAAATGGGTTCCCGCTGGCCGGCCGCCCTATGGAGCGGAGCTGCCTGCACCTGATGCAGCACGGCCTGGGCTTGCCTCAGCTCACCCGCAGATCGCGTCACCCCTCTGCCCCGGCGGATCAGAAACTCCGAGGCCCTGAGGCGGAGCGAATAGTGCTGACTTTAATGTAAACCTATTAGAGCATTTAGGGGCCGGCAGGTTGCACCGAGGGTAAGGCACTAGATGCCCCCGTGCTTGGCCACTGCTCTGGTCCTAGACCCAGCAGCTGGAGGCTCAAACCGGTCACATGTACGTGCACACCCAAACCCCAAGGATGGAGAAGGGACTGCGGTGTGGCCATCCTCCCTGGGGGGTGATTTCTCACTTTCTCTCTTCCTTTCTCTGTGTCTCCAGCAAGCACATATGCCCTATAGCAGAAATCTCTCTCAAAAAAAAAAACATTTAGAAGTCATTTACATTTCGTAGTATTTACACACAGTGGAAAAATTAGACAATCTGGTCAACTCTGAATGTTCTAATTGTAAAGAACTGGTTTTTAACCAGTGGAAGAAGTCAGCGTCATTGTTAAAACAAAGCTCATAGGATATGATAACATGTTTTTAAAAACGAAAGAAAAGGTTTAAAGGCATTAAAATTGGAAAAGTCCCATCCTGCAGATAACAGGTGGACGCACTGGGCTATCTGGCGGCGGGGGGGGCTTCCTGTTGGACCTCCTGAGCCTTGGTGGAATGGCGTGGGCTGCAGGAGCTGAGCCGGCCTGCGGAGAGGGTCCTGAGTGAGGGCACGTGTCCAGGCGGAGCATTGTCCCTCCGATGGCAGCCTGCCTCTGTCTGTCGGTGGTTCTGCACAGAGCCCGCCGCGCAGGAGAGGGGCGCAAAGTGCTTTCTGCAGCAGGTGGAGTGGGAGTGCCGGCCTGAGCATGATGGCGTTTTACGGCCTCCATGGCCCAGTGCTCCCGGCTGGCAGTGCCCGCCGAGTGCTCCACGCATTCACCAGCCCAGCCTGTTTCGGTGTAAGCAGAAGCCCTTCGGGTATGCATTTGTTTTCTGGCTGGCGCCCATTTAAGTGGCCCTTCGTACATCTGTCTTTGAACCCAGGGTAGGTGGGCATTGTTCAGACTGGACTCATCCCCACTGTGTTCAAGAGCACAGGCTCTCTGGGCCCTTCTGAGGCGGGGCTCGGGTCACTGGCCACAAGCAGGTGTGACTTCCAAATGGAGGCTCTGCCCTGACACGCCTGTGCCCGCTCCTGCCGTCCCTACCTGAGGCCTTGCTGTGAGGCCTCTGCGTCCTCGGGACAGTCGTGGGAGCGGGTGATCAAATACTTTAACTTCTCACTCTTCCTTTCATGGAAAAGGACCGAACTCCTACATGGGACCGACCGGAGCAGTTACCGGAGCCCAGGATGCTCATCGGGATGCGAGAGAGAAGCGCTCCCAGAGGTACCATCACTCGTGGCAGTTTCAGTGGCCTGGGCGGGATGGAAATCCGGGACTGTCGTCCGAGCGTGGAGTGCTGGTCCGGTTCCGTTCCAGACGTGGGACCTGGCTTCCATGGAGACAGCCAGGACTCAGCAGGGTGTGGGGGTCTGCCAGTAGCCTTGGGCTGGCCCTCGCAGGGCCTAAAACCTGATGGTCCCCACCTGAACTTCAGGAAGATCAGTACCCTGACTGTTTGTGAAATGTTGACGTTCAGCCGATCAGAGAGCGTTTCGATCCCACTCTGTAAATTAAGTTACATTTCTAGAGACTTCTCAGGTAATATAACATGCAGGGTTCGTTAAGGTGCTGCTTTTTTAGCCAGGACACCTCTAGGGCAGCTCCTCTCCCGGTGAGAACTACGGCTCACTCAAGTTGGACTTAGTGGCGTCCCGAGAGCCGGCCTGATGGGCCAGTTAGCATTTCATGGAGAGCACCTGGCCGCCCTTCTTGTGTGGGATGGAGCCCAATTTCTGGGCGTTGGAGCGGTCTAACAAGATTTAAGAAAACTGTCCCTCATGGAGGATTTGCCAGTCGCCTGCACGGTGGCAGCGGTTTCTTGACCAGGAATCTTTGTATTTCCCTCTTTGGCAGCCAAGATGCGGATTTGCCTGGGAGTGCAGGAGCTCCTGAAAACCTGACGTTCAGGGAGCGGCAGCGCTTGTTCTCACAGGGTCAGGACGTAGCCAACAAAGTGAAGGCGTCCCGCAAGCTGACGGAGCTGGAGAGCGAGCTGAACACCAAGTGAAGACGAGGGGCGCCTCGCGTCTCCCCAAACCTCTCGGCTGTGGGTCTGCGCGTGTGAGCTTGGAGAAAGGGGGAGGTGATGTTTCTAAGTGATTCATTGTTTCGGAAACGTTGGGACTTACAGATGTTTCAGTTCTAGGAAATCTAAGTTACTTTTCTGTGAAACTCATTGATTGCAGCTTAAACACTAATTTCTCAACTCCCCGACCCACGTGAAGACGCCTTTCGTTGCCATCTTTGGCGTCTTGCATTCAAAGGGGATAAGGTGGAGGCGGTGGAAGCCCACCCGC